GATTGAATCAATATGGACATCCAACAAGGTCATGAATAAGAATGGGTGAGTTGGGGTGAAAGGGGGTGGGGTGGAGGGGTCTGCGGTCAACTAGTAGGGGAAATCCACACATGTATGTTATAAATGTTACATATGGGTGAGGGGGGAGGGGGGGCTGGTTGTATTCCTTGAGAAAGTGTTATTTATTCATGTTGGAATCACAGATGAGTTGAACAATTTTGACTAGACCAGGATGTGGGTTACTAGGGTTTAGATCCCCATTAGGGCCTTTTATCTTCGCTTGAATTGTTTTGCACTCGTAAGACACGAATTCAATTCGCACTTGGGGAAGTTATTTTTAAAAATTAAATCCAATGTCTCCACCTGCTTGCAAGGATGCTGTATCCCACTTTGCTGAGGTTGACCTTGTTAGGCGGCCTGTTTCCATAATTATCTATAATTGCATCAATGGGAGCGTAAAATACAGTCAAAATTGTCTGAGACAACCATCTATTATCGAGGAGAAAATTGGCTGTCTTAGACAGGTGGAAGTTTTATACAGCATCATTGAAATGAAAAAAAAAAACACATGGCAGGAATTGGGAACTGGCCTTTTTTTGTAGAGATGATTGTGTTATACTAGTGGCCGTTAGAGCAAGTTTTACTGCTTTTATAACCACTCATATAACATTTTGTAGATGTCTCAAGAGTTGAAGCGGAGTAAAGTTCATGGCTTTTCCTTGTGTGATAAATTTCAGATTATTGAAACAGAATCCGAGACCAAGTGCTAAGCAAGTGGAAGACGCTTTTGATACAACCATCTGTCGCTGTACTGGTAACTAAGGGGAATAGGAATCAGTCTGAAGTTGTGCTCATTATATAAGTGTTTTATCACTTGATCTCCAGGCTCATGTTGGTTGGGGTTTTTTAAACCGTACTTTAAAAAGTTGTTGTGGGCTTCGAAATTTACCATTTGAAGATTTTCTGCTATTGCAAACTGAATGAAGTGTCCTGTCTCTTCTTATATTGACTAAAAATTATTACCTAAAGGAGCTCTACAGACGTAAAGAAGAAAGAAATCCTATTCTAATGATTTCTTCAAAACTTGACATAAACTCCACTTTGAAAAGTACTAAAGGAAAGCCTTTTCTCATGGTAGTCAAAGGTGGACAGCTGTGTTTTCAAAGTTGAAGATTGTAGAGGAGCACACATTCACTTTGAGCTGCTCACATTTCCCAACAGATGAGCTTGGCAGCTTCTATTCCCTTTCAATTTTACACAAACCATTTGGGGCATTAGATCATTAGATCTAGATCTGCATCCTGTATGAAAAGACCTAAAAGCTTATAGTGATTATATTGCCTGCATATTTGTCGTCTGACGCCAGTCAGTGGCTTTGATAACATTTTAGAAAAGCAATTGAGATTGGATCTAAATTTCAGTTTCAAAAACTTTATGTGTCTATTTATACCACAGGCTATCGCCCTATCCTTGATGCCATGAAGTCTTTTGCAGTAGACACACCAGGGGATGTCCTTGACATTGAAGTAAGTGTGCTGTGCAGTACAGTTAGTTTCTCTTGTAATAAACCTGCTAATGTTTGATTATATTATTATTCCTATGTATCATCTGGATCATAGTACTCAATACACCAAAGGTTGGCCTTCACACGGAGGAGAGTTCAAGTGATTGAGAGCATTTTAAAAAATGACAAGCAATTAATCCTTATTCCTATGTTATGTTCTTTCATAATAACTTGTGGAATGACAGTAAAGCTTTCTAAGCTTATCCAAGAAAATAGAACAGTTACAGTGGCATACATAAATGGGGATGATGACCTACTGAAAAAACTCGAAACAGTGAAAACGTCAACATCTGCAACGGAATGTTACCGAGATATGGGCTATACCAAAGTAAGGATTCTATCCTGGCACAGTGTATTGATTGTACCCTACCTGGTGAGATGCACAACAATCTGTTAAATGTCAAGTGCTTAAGTCACTTTTTGACTCAAAAGCTTGAATATTCATGCGGCAAAACAATATGTTTTCAGCAAACTGTTCAACTATTCTAAGACCAGAAAGCAACTTTTTCAGGAGAGAGAGAAAAACATTGTTTTATCTTTTAAAAAAAAACGCAGACTACCTGCTTAATTGTATATCTTTTCTTGCTTTTTGTCGATTTAGAATTTGAATTTCAACAAAATATTTCTCAAACTCATGCAATCAATAGTACAGAGTAAGAAACTTCAAAAGGAGCATTTTTCAGAATTTTGAGCTAATTAGATCTGAACTGCTGACCATCAGTATGATATAAGCATTACTATAAACTGTATTACATAACGTCTTTCAGGAACTTACGGCTAAGACTTGTCCCAGCTCTGGCCAAGCTTGTCGTGGTCAGTGCAGAGTGGACAGAGGGGTCATGACCTACCAGAACGGTGTGGACGCGTCGTTGTCGTGGTTGTCACCCCAGAGCCTGGATGATCTCCTGTCAGTCCTGGCAAAAAGTGCAAAGACAAACTATAGACTGGTCGTGGGGAACACAGGCTTTGGTTAGTTTTCTCATTGTTGGTTTTGGTTAGAGTCCCCCCAAAAAGTATAATACGAATCAAACTCTTACTCCTAGCAATTTGATGTGAAAATGTCTTAAACAGAAGTTTCTAACCTAATCTATTGAATGTACTCCTCTTCCCACCCCGTACCACAGCCAACCCAACCTCGTAGAAAAGCAGCCCACTAACAGTCTTTTCATTTGAAAACATCTTTAAAAATTTCTTGTTGATTTAGTGTTAACACATCCCCCCCC